GAGCGTCAGAGACCGCACGGCAAGTTGTAGCCGTTGGAGATTCCCGAGTGGAAGTGGGAACAGATTGCCATGGACTTTATCACCAAATTGCCAAGGACTGCGAGGGGCGTCGATGCAATTTAGGTGATTGTAGACCGGTTGACGAAGAGCGCTCATTTTCTCACTATTAGCAAGACCTCATCCGCAGAGAGGTTGGCAGAGATGTATGTGAGGGAAGTGGTAACACGGCATGGAGTACCGATCTCGATTGTCTGAGACCGAGATGTGCGTTTCACCTCTAGATTCTGGAAGAAATTCCATGAGGAATTGGGTACTAAACTGCATTTCAGTACCGCGTACCACCCCCAGACTGACGGACAGAGTGAGCAGACGATTCAGATGCTCAAGCTTCGGGCATATGTGTTGGACTTCGGAGGGAGTTGGGACACGTACTTACCCTTGGCAGATTTTTCCTACAACAACATCCATCATTCGAGCATTGGTATGCCACCCTTTGAGCTGTTGTATGGGAGGAGGTGTCGGACCCCCATTTGTTGGGGAGAAGTGGGGCAGCGTGTGATGGGTAGTACGTAGATAGTGCTTCAGACATCAGAGCAGATCCAGCAGGTCAGGCAGAGGTTGTTGACCGCTCAGAGTCGCCAGAAGAGTTATGCTGATAGCCGACGATCCGAGCTCGAATTGCAGGTCGGTGATTTGGTGCTTTTGAAGGTATCTCCTTGGAAAGGAGTGATCCGATTCAGAAAGAGGGGCAAGTTGGGACCCCAGTATATTGGGCCATTTAGAGTGATCGCGAGGGTGGGAAGGGTAGCGTATCACTTGGAGCTACCTACAGAGTTGGGTCAGATTCATGACACCTTCCACATGTCGCAGTTGCGAAAGTGTATAGCAGATGAGTCGACAGTGGTGCCATTGGAGGATGTTCAGGTGGGTGCGAACCTGAATTATGCTGAGAGACTGGTGGCGATCAAGGATAGGAAGATCAAAGTTTTGAGGAACAAGGAAGTGCCTTTGGTTCAGTGGCAGCATCGGAAGGGGTCTGAGATGACCTGGGAGTCAGAGTTGGAGATACGGGGGCAACATCCAGAATTGTTCGAGGAATCAGACTTCGGGGGTGAAGTCTGGTTCGAGTGGGGGAGAATTGTAACACCCCGAGATTCAGGTATTCTTCTTTCATTCGTGCTCTTTGGGTTTGACCATGTTTAGCCCTTGAGTGATCTTTTGTTTAGCAAGTGAGTACGTTGGGCGTACCATAGGGGTACGCTGCGCGTACTCAAGCGCTTAAAAAGAATGCGTTATCGCAAGGTACACTGGGCATACCAGGAGTTACGCCGGGCGTACCCGACCCAGGTACAAAACCCTAATTTTGTGTTGTGCACTATTTAAAGGATGCCAAGGCTCATTTCTCAGCCTCCATATCAGTGAGTAAAACCCTAAGAGAGAGCCTTCCATCGTCCTTAGTGAGGGTGTGTGTTCTTCGTGCTAATGGTGCCTTGGTGTGTTAGTGAAGAAGGAAGAATGGAGCTTGTGGAGACTAAAAGCTTGAAGTGTAAGTTTGATCTGAGATCTACGGAGAAAGGAGTTGCATTTAGAGGTATAAAGTTCAAAACTTTCCTCTTTATTTTGGTTTGTTGTTGCATGTGCCATTTCTAGGGTTAAAAACCCTAAAGGTGGAGACTTTATGAGTGTAAGGTGCTCCATGGTCCGAGATCTGTCCCTTTTCAATAGTATTTGAGGTCTAGATTCATAAAGTTCCCATCTTGGTCGTTGATAGGAGGTCATGCTTGAGTTCTATGCTTTCTAGGGTTAGAGAATGAAATGTTTTGGGTGATAGTGACTTATTCAACCATGCAAAGTCTTAAAGTCATCGACTTTATGATTTAAGAGGCTTAGAAATGGTCAGATCTAAAAGTTGGACGTGGGTCTTAACTGTTTAAGACCCCAAAAGCTGAAGGACTGAAGCTGGGATTACTCCGGGCGTAATCCTAGTACACGCCGCGTACTGGGTAGCGTACCCCGATCCTGAGAGGCAGCCAGGTACTCCCAGTGTACACATCTGGTACGCGCAGCGTAACCCGGAAAGTTGACTTTTGAGTTGACTTTTAGGGTATGGTCTATTGTGGGGCCTTTGAGATATGAGAGGGGTAAAATGGTCTTTTACCCTTCGAAGAGTGTCATAAGAGGACATAGTCTAGCCTTTGAGAGTTATAATAATTAGGGTATCCATTTTGATTAGGCGGAGGTTAGACCAGAGTTACCGAGTCAGAGATTACCGAGATACCCGAGGTGAGTCTTCTCATTATACTTTACCTAGTGTGGTAACAGGGTTATGTGACAGAGTTATATGCCAGTGTAATTCCATGTTATCTATGTACTAAGATTTATTGTGATATGAATAATTCAGAGTTACAAAGTTAGAACCTTCGGGTCCATAGAGTTAGGACTTTCGGGTCCACAGAGTTAGGGTCGGAGGGCCCATAGAGAGTTGGGCTGGAGGGCCCCACTTAGACACCTAGACCTGAGGGTCAACAGAGTTACAGCCTTGAGTGGCTATTATGTGTTAGAGTGGTATTTTGGGGAACTCACTAAGCATTTATGCTTACAGTGTTATGTGTTATGTGTTTCAGGTACCATCGATGATCGCCGGAAGGCGCCGACAAGATTCGTACACACGCAAACCGGAGTTTATATATATATATATATATATATATATATATATATATATATATATTGATCTTGGGTTTTGTACTGATATAATGTTCTAATTATGATTTCAAATGATATTTTATGGGTTACAAAAGTGAAAAATTCTTCAAATTTTTACGGTATTACAGAATGCACGATATTGTAACTATAACAATAATTAAATTTATTAACTCCTAATACATTTTCTACATATAAATTTCTTCTATAAAAGTACCAAAATGGATAAATAAATGCACTATTATCACACACAAATTCATTGCTCACTTAAGTGTCAAAAATTTCTTGTTTAATCATTATTTTCAAAAATTAACTCGGACCGTCACTTAAATCTTAAAAATTTTACCGCTTGGTCCGTAACAACGTAAAATGACTATATTGCCCTTTTGTTTTTTTACATATTTTTCATTTATTTTTCAAATTTGCGATTCTTTTTAATTATTAAAAATATTTTAATTAAATTTGTGGTTCCTATTTGATTCCTCACTCTTCGTTTGACTCTAATTATAATATTTGTGACCATTTTCACAGACTCCTTTTCACCATCACCATCTTCCCCAAAGGGTTTGTTAATCCCATTTCACCATGGAGTTTGTATAACATGGAAAGGGATGCCAACATCATCCAATTGTAGATCATCACAATATGATTTATCAATAGTGAATTCATCGTTTAAATTTGATTCTATCACTGGATATTGACAAGGACTGGTTCCAAAATGATTTAGAAGGTGAAGTGCTGAAATCCAGGATGGTGACCTTGATCCCATGATCAAGAAAGGTGTCTAAGCCACCTTTATCGCATTTTTTTAAACAAAAATTACAAACCCTTAATATTCCTTGAACCTTCCCTGATGGTATTTGAATTAGTAGACCAGTAGACTATGGAGTACCAAATTTTTAATGCACTTGGATTCATCTAGATGGCTACTAAGATGCAAAATAACAATATAGAGGGAATATATGGATTTTGTACAACTAGGAACACCTAGCCCACACAAAAGTTAAAGCTATCATGTGTGTGATTCTAGTCGTCACCTTTATCTCGATGATCCATACTCACCCCTCATATATATATATATATATATATATATATATATATATATATATATATATATATATATGCCTACATCAGGTGTTGTTATCATCTATGAACGTTTAATGATGGAAACTGGCTCCTTCACTATCTACACTATCAGTAAAGTGAGATTAACCATAAATCCCACCTAAACCACCACCGTAGATCTGCATTCTGATAATCACCTAAACCCACTGGAGAGTTACACACAAATAAAAGAAGAGAGAAATGAGAAGAGGTCTTTGTCTCATTTCAAATTGTTGGAATAAGGTTCAATTGTGGTGGGGTGAAAGAAGAAAATAGTACCAGTTCATTGTGGGATTTACTGTGTAGAGGAGAGATACTAGGGAAAATGGTGGAGGCAGAGGAGATGTAGGGTTTTATTTTTCTAGATCGAGAGAGAGAGAGAGAGAGACAAAGAGATCCTATTTTGTTTTTAATTAACAAAGATAATTAATAAAAACCACATGCCATCTATTTCACATCTTTGCCTTTTCCTGCATTAAAATGATTGAGATTTTTTTTCTACGTGACAGAAGAGCTCAACACATAGGTGTCATTTGTTTTTTTGAAGCGAAAATGTCTGAAGTTTGCAGACCACCTCTGCAACCCTCAGTAGCAGAAGAGGGGGACCAAACCGCTGCATCAAGTAATAAAAAGTTTGTTTGTTTTCTAACCTCTACAGACTACTGTAATAAGTTAAAGTAAGGTGTGAAGAGGTTTGAAGCAGAGGGTCAAATGTTGCGCCAAGCAACACACGCACAACAGTTTATAATTTGGAAATTTTCTAAAAAACTAATAGTTGCGAAGGGCCAAGTGTTGCACATGTGCTGCACGGCGCAACAATAAGTGGTTAAATGCTGTTGTTTTTTTTTAACAAACAACCCCTGAGTGTCTTGGAAATGAAGAGAGAGAGAGAGAGAGAGAGAGAGAGAGAGAGACTATTTCACGAAAGGTCTAACATTCAAATAATACAGAAAATGCAATATTTTTTAATAAAATGTGAAGATAATGGATTGAAAACGCACCGACTACTATATATAAGTATAGTGTCCATATTGTAACAGATCATTACAATATATAATCCTATTTATTCGTACTGAATGCGTAGTATTGTAACTGTAGGCTTAATTTAATTTATCAAGTACTACTACCGTTTCTACATATAAATTTCTTCTATATAAACAGACAAAATGGATAAATTATACTGCAATATTATCATACAAAAATAGTAGTAGTTTAAGAAATGAAGTCTGTTTTCTTCATTATTGTCCTCGTTTCTATCTTTGTTTCTATGGCTAGTGCAATTCCAGGCACTGCCACGTTTTACCAGCAATATACACGTAAGTGTGTACTCTCTATTGCACTACTGATGGATTAAGATAATACATTATGAATACATGATATGTCTATATATATATATATATATATATATATATATATATATATATATATATATATATATAATTTAATATATACAAACATATATGTTTACGTATTATGGAGTGAATCGATAAGAAGTATATAATGGAAATATGCATTTCAGTTCCTAACATACTTAATTTGTATAAATAACTTTTGAAATAGCATCTGCATGTTATGGGAGCACCCCTGAGGGAGTGATGATTGCTGCAGCAAGTGACCCTTTGTGGGACGGTGGAGCTATTTGCGGAAAGATGTTCACAGTTAAATGCACTGGTGCCACAAACCCAGTCCCTCACCGATGCTATGAAGGTAAAACAGTCACCGTTAAAATTGTTGATCATTGCCCCGGTTGTGGCGGAACCCTAGATCTTTCCAAAGAAGCTTTTGAGTCCATCGCCAACCCTGTCGCTGGAGTTATCAAAATTGAGTATTGGTAGTTGATTTCCTAACGGACGTCGATAGAATTGATGCTTCAATTATTTCGTCTTTTATTGTTTTTGGATCAATAATAAGCTATGATATTTTGAAATCAAAGAGAGTTACTATCATTTTGTGAGTAAACAATTTTGGATATTGACTTAATGTTTCCTTTCAATTGCATTACTTTTGTAAGTGTTCTGATTTTATTTCTTCTTACACATTTTTCTTTATTTTGAACGAGAACCGCACCGACTACGTCACTCTTCTAGATGGGATTGGAACACTAAGACACATAGGTTGATAAAGGGAACAATGTCTTTCCAAATACTCTTGAGATTTTAAATTAAGTTGTAACATTTTTTCCATGTAATCTCTTAGCCAACACAAACTTCATTTTTTCAATAATTTTTTTGAATTCATTTCATCTAAATATCATTTGTTACTTTAACAATATTATTAAATATTAAACTAAATGTTTCATTTTTATATTAACACGAAAGAAAAATAGGCTTCAAAGATAGAATTTGGTACAAATAGTGGTCGCCGCTAAGTTCATGCTGGAACATCGTCGAAACAACTACGAAATGTGGATTCAATTGGTTTAAGAGTATCAATACGATATCTATGATGATAAATCAACATTATAATCTGCAAGATAACCATAACTCTCAAATCGATCACAACATCTTGGCCTCTATGCATCGGTCCCTAGTTAAAAAATAATATAATCCAATACCATAATCTCTTTTCATAAATTAACATTTTAAATTAAGATACAATGAAGATACTGACACTATCCAAATTCCAATATTACTAGCCCATGAAGAATGGAAAGGTAGTTATTTGAAGTGTGAATAACCAATTCTATACCACTTCCATTTTAATTTCTCCATGAATCTGCATCGTCTAACTCCATATTTAATAATTTTCATGTGATAATTCAATAATGTATTTTTTTCTTTTGTATCAAGGGATCCAATGTAACACTCATATCCCCATGTATAATTCCTTAAGTATAAAATTGTCATTTTTTCATTTTGGGTGACCTATGTTAAGTGTAGGATAGTCCCCTACGTTGGGCATAGGGGATTGACCAAATGTGGGGGGTTAATGCCCTACGCTAAGCGTATAGCTATTTACAATGAGCATAGGTGCATAACATTAAAATCCTAATTGTGGAGTTGTGAACCTTATTTAAAGGCTCCAACTTCTTAAGGTCCTCTCCATGGTTAGTCTCCACCCTCATATTCAAACATACCAAAACCGTATCCACCTTGCTGAAATTTAGAAGCCTTAGAGTGTTTTTATGTGTGTCCTTGAAGGAAGAGTCCATTAGAGAAGCATTTGGGACCTCCATCCTTTGTAGATCCCGATTTTACACCTCATCATCCATCTCTAGGAGGTAGAAAGCTGCCAGTTGATGTCCCTTTATGCTAGATCTAGTTTGCTCATGCGTTTATATGCCTTTTGTCCCATAACCTTGGTCTTGATGGGTATGAGATACTCCAAACCTTTTAAGTATCATTTCTAGATGTTTTTGAGCTTGTAGAGTCATCAGAATGACAACTTGGTCACTCTCATTCATCCATGAATGAGCTCTTGAGAATTAGAGTGTTTTGTGGACTTAGGGTTTGGCCTTGCGCTCTTTTGGGCCTTGCAAAGGAGTAAATTCAAAGACTTCACCCCTTAGGATGTTTATTAGACTCAAATCTAAACATTGGATGGTTGTTTATTGTGTGTAAAGATCTTAATAGGAATTTGGTGAATCAGAAAAAAGTTATGCTGATCCTAATCTTCTTAACGCTTAGCGTAGCCTAGATGTCCCCCATTTCCCATATAAAGCTCTACACTGAGCGTAGTGCATGGTGTTACGTTAGGCATAGAACCAGAAGATTGACTTTTTAAAACCTGTAGTTTTGGTCAAGAGGAGTGGGTACTAGTCTTGGAAAGTAAAAATGGTCTTTTTACCCTATGGATAGTTAGTTATCAACCAAGACACTTGAATATGGATTATTACTCAATTTATGAATAGGGTTTCATTATGTATATTATTAGTATGAGGTGTTCTAGTAATAATATCTTGAGTGTAGCTTTTTTATGTTTGCAGATTGAGGTGAGTCTTCACACGATACTATGTAGGATGCTAATAGTCATTGTTATACTTTCATGCAAGATCATAGGAGTAGCCCAAGGAATTTTTATGAAATACCATGGGGTTAAACCATGATATTTTCAGGGAAGAGCATGGGGATAACCCATTACACTTAAACATAATACCATGTGGGTAGCCCATGGAATTCTAGAAAGACCACAACCGTAGCTCGTGACACTTGAATGTAAGATCATGGAGGTAGTCCATGGAAATCCAAGGAAAGGCCATGGGAGTAGCCCATGACATATGGATATATGTTAGACATTTTTGAGGGCTACTATTTCCAAAGGGAAAGGCCCAACTTGACTGCACAATATTCCATTATGATTTTTTCGCATTGATGTTTGATATTTTACATTTTTTTATGACTAAGTTTTAACAAAATTTTATGAGAACTTGATGATTTGACAAATGAAATATTTTATCTGTAATTTGGGATGTTACATCTAACAAAGGTGAGGTCACCACTGTTTCAAGGGGTTTCTACCCCACCATGTCTTTAAACAAAAATTAGTGTCACCACCTTTGCCAATTTCTTTAGATATCGTGGGAAGGAATCAATATCATTCTTGAAATTCAATCTAACCTGCTCTAATCTCATGCAAATATGTTTTAGTCTGGTTTTTCTTAAGTCCTGTTGACAAATGAAACAATCTAAGAATACAAGTGATTACCAAACTATTCTTGGTACTATGATCTCCAATGAAGACGCCATCATCCATGCAAAAAATATGGGATATGTTAGAGTATTCTTCATCATTTTGAGACCAAACCTACGAAACAAGTATTTATTAGGGGCACCATTAGTAAGAATGGAAATAAAGGCAAATTTCAAGTGCGCCTTATTCCACTCACGCCGAGTATCACCAAGACCCATAGGCGTAATAATTTGGCAAAAAAATTTATAGTTTATGTAGTTATAAGCCATAATATATCTACTTTAAGGGCAATCACCTATGTTTTCGTATATTCACACAAATCTAGGATTCCGCTAACAATAAGCAGGCTGTCATTTGCATTCATTTAATTAACACACTTTTTATAATTAGGCTTGTGCAACTATTGTCTCCAAGCTACACTAGACCTACCATATAATGAAGAGTTCACCGTTTTCTTTCAGAATTTTACATCTTACTTTTGTATAAACAATTATTAGAGAAATCAGTCGTAAATAGGGTTCTTCCTTTGGTCTAAATGCTTCTTAAAAAAGTTGGTGGCAACTATATTTTTTCCATTTGGTATTTTTCAGATAGTCTTAATTTGATCAATATGTTTCGTTTGAGTTCATGAAGTTCTATATTTTTTTGATTTGGTCATACATTTATACCCTTTTCAGCATCGTGTCTATGACATATATTAAGTTTGGGGCAATGTCAATGTTTCAGTTGCAATTATTAAGATTTAAATCATCAAGTTCTATATACCCTCATAAAATTGAAACATTTGTTAAAGACCTTCGAATTTTGAAATTCTATGTTTTCATTCCTATTACATCAAAATATATCTAAATTATGAAATATCTATAAAATACCAACATAACAATTTTTTTTTTCAAATGTTATTAATAAAAAGAAAGATATGTAATAAAAACTATATGATATCTGTTTAATATCTTTACCCTTTTTGGCATTAAAATGGTGAAGAGTTTTTTTCTATTGAAAGAAGAGCTAATACTTTGTGTCTTACAAGTGAAGAGGGATAGAGACTCTTTCAAGAAAGGTGTCACATTGAAATAATACGTAAAATGTAATCATTTTATTAAAATGTGAAGATAACAGTTTGAAAAGGCACCAACAACTATATTTAAGTATATAGTCCATATTGTAATAGGCCATACCAAATGGCTTTTAGCCCAACGATATCAGGTGCTGTCTTCCCTCTTTGAGGTCGAGGGTTCAAGTCTCTTCATGGATATAGGTGAAATTATAAGTTCGTTTATGAGTATATTATATATTTATATTTTCCATTTGAAAAAAAGGTAATAGACCATTACAATGATAATCTTATTTATTCGTATTGAATGCACGATATTGTAACTATAGCAATAATTAAATTTATTAACTCCTAATACATTTTCTACATATAAATTTCTTCTATAAAAGGACCAAAATGGATAAATAAATGCACTATTATCGCACACAAATTCATTGCTCACTCAAGTATCAAAAATTTCATGTTTAATCCTGGTTTTCAAAAATTAACTCGGACTGTCACTTAAATCTTAAAAAGTTTACCGCTTAGTCCCTAACAACGTAAAATGACTATATTGCTCTTTTTTTTACATATTTTTCATTTACTTTTCAAATTTATGATTATTTTTAATTATTAAAAATATTTCAATTAAATTTCTGGTTCCTATTTGATTCCTCTCTCTTCGTTTGACTCTAATTATAATATTTGTGACCATTTTCACAGACACCTTTTCACCATCACCATCTTCCCCAAAGGGTTTGTTAATCCCATTTCACCATGGAGTTTGTATAACATGGAATCAATGCCAACATCATCCAATTGTAGATCATCATAATATGATTTATCAATAGTGAATTCATCGTTTAAATTTGATTCTATCACTGGATATTGACAAGGACTGGTTCCAAAATGATTTAGAAGGTGAAGTGCTAAAATCCAGGATAGTGACCTTGATCCCGTGATCAAGGTGGGTGTTTAAGCCACCTTGATCACATTGTTTGAAACAAAAATTACAAACCCTTAATATTCCTTGAACCTTCCATGATGGTATTTGAATTAGTGGACGCATAGACTGTGGAGTACCAAATTTTTAGTGCACTTGAATTCATCTAGATGGCTACTAAGACGTAAAATAACAATATAGAGGGAATATATGGATTTTGTACAACTAGGAACACCTGGCCACACACAAAAGTTAAAGCCATCATGTGTGTGATTCTAGTCGTCACCTTTGTCTCGATGATCCATACTCACCCATCATATATATTATCA